TATGTTTTATATATGAATGATGTTAATTCTTTTATTATATTTTTACTAATTTTCATATTCATAAGAAAGAAGTGACATATATTACTTATAAATCAACCATTAATAAATAAAATATTATTTTGTGACATATTATTTTCTTGTGGATATGAAGATTAATAGAAAAATCTAGTATAAAAATATATCACTTTCCTTTATATATTTTTCTATTTCACATTTTTTAATAGTTTTCTGTTTTAAGAATATCTTAAACATACATGTCATAAGAAAACTATGGGATGGTGACTAAGGATAGCAATGAAAACCGAACCCGCGGGTACCCGCCCAAACCCAACCTGGATTTAACGGGAAAAACTCGATGTGATTGGGTTCGGGTTTTACCCGAGTTCAAATTTTGGGTTCGGGTTTGGTATTAACAATATCAAACCCGAACTCGTCCCGAACCCGATTAATATATGTAAAACTATAAAATTACATATAAATACATATATAAAAGCTATATATATAAATTTCACATATATATAAATTTCATACACATATATATATAAATTATATATATAAAAATATATGTTTTTTTGGGTTCGGGTTACCCGAAACTCGACGGGTTCGGGGATTGTATTATTGTTTCCAACCCCGCTTAATTAAGGTTCAGGTTTTTAATTTCGGTTCAGGGTTGGGTAAGCACAAACCCGCCCCGACCCCGACCCCGACTCACCCTATTGTCATTCCTAATGGTGACATTCATATTTCAGGGTATATACATCTATACCCTCAATTTCCTCCTTATAATAAGTTTATAGTTAATATATATTGCACCTTTTGGTTATATAAAATAATACTAATATCATTTAGTTATTATATAAAATTTTATATCACTTAATTATTATTATACTTGAATTAATCATTACTTTGGTCAATTATTGGTTCAATGTTGAATTTAATAAGTCACTAGTTAGACCAGTTAAATTGATCTCCTTTAAAAAATTATTAAAAACTTATAATACTATCTACCTTATTTAATAACTTTATACTTCAATTTTAGCTATATTTTTATTATTACACAAATAAGAATAAATTTTTTTACAATAATAAAATGTCACAAATGATTAAAAACATTATCAAATAACATTTTTTTAAGATTTGGTTGCATCAAAAGCAAATAAATAAGTTTAAATGTCAATTATACAAATTAGATTTTGTTACAATATAAGATAAAAACTACAAACAAAAATCCCAACAATAACAAACTTAAACACAAACAAGTTGAAAGTACAAGATTTTCCTCCCTCACAATATGTCATTTTGATGTTGTTTTAAAAAAAATGATTGATTCAACCAACACAATTGGTTAAATAGACCGAGTTATTCGTTTTATGTGCAAAATAGCTAGGTCAAATCGATCCATACTGGTTGTGGTTCATAGTTGATCAAATGAGAAATTCGAACAAATTGATGTCCACCATAGATTAGATGAGTTTGTCAAATCAAATTTAATAACATTGCATTTATTGCAACTTACACCCTTGACTCAAAATGTTCATTGTTCATATTTATTCATGGATTCTCAAATAATTTATTTCAAATATAAGTAATACACATGAATGATGTGATGACTATATATAAAACTTTAATATGATATTAATGCATATATATTACACTATATTTTAAATCTTTTAATATTTTAAAATTTTAAGACTTTTATAATTTTCAATATATTAATATTTATTTCTTCTCCTTTTCATATTATATTTCACTTTTTGACTAATTTTCATAAATTTATTGCTTCATATATTAATATAAATTCAATGATGCATTTTAGTAAAATTTTATATCAACCATTTTTAAGTATTTAATAAAGCTGTGTACTTAATATTAAAGATAAAAATAATATAGGTTGAGGAAGTTAGTTTTTATAATGAGTTTTCTTATAGAAAGATCTCAAGATGCTAGTAATTTTTAATAAATGTAATAAAAATATTGTTTAGAGAAACATACAAATTAATTACATAAATGTAGATATTATACTTATATTAAAAAATGATAGACTTTTTTATAAATCAGCAATATAAAATTTGAACAATTTCAAATTGTAAAATTGAATGACATGTATATTATTGGAGGAATGAACATTTTACGTGAAGAATTAAATATGGAGAATTTTTGTGGAATATAGATAAAATATTAACTTGTGACAAAAAGTAAAATGAATTATTGAAATGAGAGAAAAATGTTAGAAAAGTCTTAATCTTAAGTTCTCCGGTTATTGAAAATTTAAACTTTGAAAAAATAAACATGGAGAACTTGTGAGAAATGTAGACACTTGTGTAAAAAAAAGTAAGGTGAGTAACCAAATGGAGATAAAACTGTTATAAATTTCTTACATGTGAGTTGATCTTAATTTTATTTATGAAAAAATTACATATGAAAAATTAAACATAAAGAAGTTGTGAAAAAGATAGACAAAATGTTAACTTGTGACAAAAAGTAAAATGAGTGGGTTAAGGAATATAAATATGTTAGAAATGTCTTACTTGTGAGTTCTTGGTTTGTAAATAATTTATGTGTGAAAAATTAAACATGAAAAATCCATGAGGAATGTAGAATGAGGAATGTAGAGAAGATGATAACTTTTGAAAAAATTAAAATAAGTGACTCAAGGGAGATATGTTACAAAAATCTACCTATGAGAAAAGTGTTTGAATATGTAATCAAGAGAATAAATATTATATCACATTAATATCAAAGTTAAAAGCAATAAAAGTTATATATTAGGAAGTTATGTATAACCAACAACACATGTCATACTACAAAATTTACTAAAAGGATCTATAAATAATACATGTCAAATTTTTAGAGTATCTATTTTTATTATTTCACCATCCCAAACAATTTATATATAGATAGTAGATTAATTTTAAATATTGACTCTTAATCTAAAGAGAATAATGTATCTCATGTTATAAGAAGATAAATTATCTTCTCCAACCACTAAAATCGTGACATATGTACCATTTAATCATTTTTTTACACAAATAATTTTAGAGCAAAACAAAACAATATATATATCATTCTTTCACTGGTGGGATAAGGTAAATTATCTCCTGGTATGAGGAGATACATTATTTTGTAATCTAAAATTTGTAATGTTGATATTAAATTCTATTTATGTTATTATATAATCCATTAAGCAAAAAATATCAACATTTTTTGGGTCTCAAATATATTAAATACTTTTACATATTTAAATATCATTTTTAATTCAATCAATTCCGCATATAACACATGATGAACAATAATTATATGAGTAGGGATCCACTTATTCCAAGAGTAAGTTTTTAAAACTTACTCCACATCTTAGCCATCAATTATAGAGAAATCCAATGGTTTAAATCTACTCATTAATTTAAACCATTGGATTTCCCTAGAATTGATGGCTAAGATGTGGAGTAAGTTTAAAAAACTTACTCTTGGAGTCAATGGATCCCTCCTCTAATTATAATTATTTGTATGTTTTTATTAAGTCAAAGTAATTAATTGACTTTTAATTAATTTTCTCAATATGTGCATAAAAATTCTTATAAAAATGAGTGGAGTTATATATTATATAGTCTCATGTACATATGTCTTAATCAAGAAGACATTAATCTAGTAGTGCAAGACCCATTAATTTTTTAAATAAATCGAAAGATTAATAGTTCAATTTTTAGGAATGACACTTGTTAGGAGGTGTAATTATGTATCCTAAAATGATTAATTATTTTTATCCATATGATGAGAAAGTACCTTAATAGTTAAAAAAATATGGCCTGGGTTCATTGTTGTGTATGGTGTATGTGTCAAAGTCTTAAATAAGTCTCTAGTCCTCCTAAATGTAGCAACCTTTGGTTTTATTCTCTAAACATTTTTTAATGGTTTTGGTACTTTGGATCTATTCTCTACCCTATTACAAAAAAACATAGCATGCCATTAGATATGTGACCATCTAACATTTTTTGGTAGCAGTGGGGGCCAAACCCAAAGTTTGGTGATTTACAAGTACCAAAACCAACAAAATTATTTGGAGACTAAAACCAAATGTTGCTTCATCAAAGACTCATTTAACCCATTGAGTACATTTCACAGTTTTTATTATATCATTTGTCATCAATTATGATTGGTTCGAAAAATAATTAGTAATTAAGTTTTTAATTTAAATATTTTTTTAACCAATCATACATGACAGTACATGGAGCGACACAAATCGCAGGATAAGACATGTAACTTTTATAAACTCTCTCTTAGTATTAATTCATTACAAGATTTATGTATTAGTCATATTAAATATGATATTTTTCAATTCTATGTATGATAAAAGGTGATATATTTTTCAATTCTGTTTTAATCATTACGAAAGAGAAGGTGATATATTTTAATTAATGAATAATAATTATATGATATTTTCATATTTTTAATTCACTTTAAAAAAATGATGTCACCATACATATAAGATATAGTTTAAAAATTGAGAGTAGGTGGTAATAATGTAAACATGGTCAAAGAATATAGACATGTTGTTTAAAAAGAAGAGCTTGAAATTAGGTATCATTTGCTTTGCATGACTTTGTGTTTTTCTTCCTTCTTACATTGATCACGTGCATATGATTAAATTTTCTCAACATTATCTTCTTGTCTAGGATAATGTTCCTACTCAACCTAATTAATCAACTAATCATTGTCCCATTAGAATTATAAAATATGATTTCACCAACACTATGTTAGTACATGTACTATTTACCCTAAAGTACATATATGTAGTTTATGGGAAGAGATTTACTTATTCTAGAAGTAAGTGAAAAAAACATACTCTAAATTATAACCATTTGTTTTTTGAAAATCCAATGGTTTTAATTAGTGAGTAAATCTAAATCATTGTATTTTTCACTTACTTTATGTACAACATTTAGTACAAACTATATTTATTGCTCACACTTTCAACACTTTTGCTACATATTCAATCATCCATATTTTGGCCAAAAATAACGCATTAATATATGCATTTGAGGTGTTTTGCAAAGGATCTAGATTTGAGGTTTATCATTTCCTTAGAACTATGGTTTGGACAAGTAACAAAGCAAGAGCTCAAAACAACCTTAGATTGTTTCTCTATGGAGGGTAAGTTCTCTATTGCAAGCTAGAGATGGCTATGATCTTAGACCATGATGAGGTAAGTACCTTTTTATTGGTCATGTTCATTCATTTTTATTTACAAGCAGTCTATGTTAATCTAATTCAAATCCAAAATCATGCAGGCTTGATATAAAAAAAGAAGAGCTCTCTCTCTTTCTTGTCCAAACCCTAGTTTTAAAGGAATGAGTCCTTCAATAATTTTGTTGAGAGAACTAGCTCAACTGCTCAAGAGGTTAGTTGTCTCGTGCAATTTGTATACTAATGCTCTTTTGTTCTAGTTAATTGTTGCATCTTGAACTAGATTGTGTCCAAGATTCAATTTCTGGGAGCAACAATTGTTGGGAGAGACAGTCACGTACTCCGAAACGAGATTTGTTTATTTACCCATTGAGTAAGAAGATTCCCTATGCTACCAAAAAAATCTTTAACTAGAACAAGTTGGCCAGAAACTAACGTGTGGGTGTCTATGAGAATTCTAACTCTCAAGTGAGATTTCAGCTCCTCTCTAGTTGGAGAGTCCCTGGAAAATTAATATTATTTTTTATTAAAAAAATAACGTAAAAATCATGACCGTAAAAATTTATTTCTATCACCTGCTGTAATCTCCATCTAGTACCGGAAAGGATCAGAACTCCTCAACTACTATTATTTTAGAAAAGTATTTTTACCCTCATGGCCCCCTAACAATTTATAGGAGAGTGAAACCTAAAGTTGGTCGGGACAAGTTAATATTTAAGAATAAATATTATATCCCCTTTCCCTTTCAAACAAATTGATTGAAGTTTTTTTCTTTCCAATCTTGTTAGGTCCTATTACTTTCGGCTGAATTATTGGAAACTGTATATTTATAATACTGATGTGGTGATAAGACAATTAGGGCTACTCAATTTTGGGCTCTTACATAACTGGCTATTGCTAAAAAAAACTCAGGGCTATTCAGGTTGGAAAAATAATAATTTTCTCATACCAAAAGTGAACCAATTATTTCTGAGGTCCAATTTTATGAAATTGGTAATAGGCTGAAAGGGCCTATATTAGAGGTGGATGATATAAATTTTAGGAGGAAATAATTGGAGTAGTGATACACTTTTTCATTCTATAATTTTTTACTTTTAGATTCACTTTCCTTGTATAGCTCCCTTCTCTTTTTCTTATAATATGCATTTTTCCATGGAAGTCTAGGATATTAAATCAATTTAGTTTCTAAAAAAATGTATAATTAAATGTTAAGCTCCTAAAATATCAATTTAGTGCATTTTTGCTTCAGCTTAGTATTTTAATTTGGCCAGGGTTAGTTATGTTACTTTCCTCATTTTTATTGTAACACAATTATATTTTTTTCATCTGCAAAAGATAAAAGGTATTATTAAAATTAATTAAGAGTTATAGAAGATTCATAAGCAAAATACAAAAGTGGTAGATCAGAAACAATTATAAGTCGATGTTAAGACAAATTAATGATTTAGAAACTCAATCTGAATAATTAGATGAGTCTTTGTCTGACCCTTTGTCCATTGATCCAAAGCCAAAATTTAATTCTTACGGATTCAAGAATTTTTTGTAAAGAGGGCTTGATAGAGTTAAAAATGAAATTATTCCTAAAAAGCCAAGTTGCTCAGACAGTAACCAACCTTGACACTTCAAATTTTCGAATAATGCATGTGAGATATCATGCCCATGTGAGTAGTAAACTGATGAATGGGTTGAAGATGTAGAACAATGTTGATATTCAGTCAATTATAAAGTTTATGCCAAAATGAATAAATGAGAGTGCATGAAGAAAAAAGATATTGAGTAGTTTCTGGATACTCGTTGCGAAAGGGGCACAAGGGACCTCCTCCGTGAACTAAAGATACCCCATCTTGTTTAGTTCGTAACCTATCCTAAAATAATCTTCACGCAAAGATAGTGACCTTCAAAGGAGCTTTGGATTGCCAAACGAGATGAAGGCGGTTGTTGTTGAGAGCATGTTGGTGATTATTCTGAGAAAGTATGTTGTATGCGGATCTGATCGAGTATTGCTTAGACTTAATATGGGGCCACTCCCATGAATCGTGTAACGCCCCGAAAAATACACCTTAATTTTAATGCGGAAAAATGGGTAAAATTTTTTTTTTTTTTTAATTGGTGATGAAAAAATATTGTTTCCTTTTTAAAATGTTTCTTTTTCGGGACATCACCTTAAGTAACATACTATGCGGAAATCACTAACTGTTACCTAACGGTAACTGGAATGATACAATACTTCCCTGGAATTTATTTCATCATTCAACAGTTAGTATTTATACAAAATATCTAATCGTGGCGGAACATACCCATCGCCCAACTAACATATCAAAATGCTATACTACACAGCATCCCCAAAACATGCACAACAAAAAGAACAACAAACCCAGAGCTCAACGGCTAGATACCGCACTGCTAGGAGTTCTAGAACACTCACTGGGATCCTCCTCTGTGCCAGAGTCAGATGAGAGTTCTATCACCTCGATGGAACTCTCTATGTTCACCAGCTCTAACACTCCATCCTCGTCAGCATCCGCCTCAGCCTCTATCTCAATTGACTCATCCTCCATCGGCTCCGACGAGGAGCTTGGAGGGTCGGGAAGGGATCTCCGTATACGCGTAGAGTTCCCGTCCATCTGTCCAAATTATAAACAAGTACAAGAATAGACAAGTAGAGAGAGTAAGACATCTAATGAACAAAATTCATTGACGGCGTGGACTTACTCTAAATAGGATACTCAGACAAAAATATACTTTTCATAACATGCAATTCAATCATCTGACAAATCACATAATAATATACAGTCATCGTACAATATAAATATATCGTCGTAATTAATATATCATGGATCTCACATGCACAATACTAAAGAGGAATAATGATTATATCTCAAGTATAAAAATAAACGTTCGTGCAATGCAATGTATGAATGCTATGTCATTTCATCCACCTTACACCATTATCCACCCAAATAGCCTATTCGGAAACAACCGAGAGTACAGGTCCCATACCAAGCCGATTGTACGCACCAAAATAAATAACATCCTCGCAAGGATGAATGATCGATCTGTTCCAAAGGAACTGTCCATAACAGGACGGTGTCGTAGCAACGCTTTCTGGGCATCCCTCTCATCGATCATGATTGCAAATCGAGGGGTCGTCAGAGATTGTCTAGTTTGCGCTGTGAGAACTGTCCGATCCAACAGGATATCCTCTCCTAGGAATACAAGGGACTCGTCTCACCTAGACTCTCCCTCAAGGCTTTGTTGACGAACCACCGTCAAGCAAAGTCGCCCTCCTTGCATCTCAGTGCTCATACGTCATCCTGTAATGTTTCCTCTCCACTACTTCGTTATTCATAATGCATATGCTCTCTAACCGAAGTTAGCAAAATCCGAACTCTTAATCATTCTTTTATATAATCGGCCCATCTTAAGACATCTCCTAAAGGATGTCCGCTCCAAAAGGAATGCTTCTTATGGGACCCGATATTTCTCATTTATATCAAATGTTTTTAAACCTTGTATTTCAAAATTATCACATACATATCATTCCCATAATAACCATTCAAACATTATAATTCAAGAGTAAACATGGTATTTGCATATATAAACATAACATAAATCGGTATAAGAAATATTGTTGTACTTAATCCAAACAAACATGCAATTGCTTAAGTACAAGCTTTCTTAATACTCAGGGCAACTCCAAACTTTTGAGATAGTTTGGAGGTCCGGGTGCCATATTCGGACACCACTATGTCGCGATGTGTTCTCTCTCACCTGAGTGTGTCGGGTCGTTAGGTTCTCTGTTTGCAGGTGAGCTTACTTGATCCGTTCTCCTCTCGAACTCTTCGTTATGCTAAAATAACGTTAATTAGTTAAATGACGATAATTATTATACTTACGAAACAACTTTTTACGCGAAGATAAAACTTCCGATTTAAAATGAATTTAATTGCTTTCGTCCATCCAATTCAAGGTTGAATATCCTTGAATCATCATTTGTCATCGAAAATCTTACAATCAAATAATACTTTTTTTAAGTAAAATTTTCAATAAAACTTGTACCGAAATTATGTCGTAATCTGTGGATATACACCAGGCTAGTTCCCAGGAAAGAGAGGTGGGTCATAAAGACACCCTTAAATACCAAGTCTTTCCTTAGACAGAACCTTTCTAGACATGTATTCCCACTTCATTGCATTTTTCCGATAATTCATAAATCTTATTTTTGTAAGTAAAACATTTTTACTAAAACTAACCTTTTTAAAATAAGATTATTAAGCTAGACTTATCCTTTTTAAAGTAAGTCAATTTAAACAAAATCAATATTTTTAAATCAATACTTTTTAAGTAAATCTTACCATTTTAAAGTAAGTTCACTTAATTAAGATTCAACATTTTTGAATCATTTTACCATCTAAGACTTCATAACACTTTAAGTTTATAAAGTCAAGACTTTTAGGTAACTCTCATTATTTCAAGTATACTACTAAAACAAATTTTCATGAACATCTTAACACCTCCTAATTTTTTTAGGAAAAAACCTCAAGGGTTAGTAAGTGTTATTTTCATAGTCATGAAAAAGAATGACTCTTAATTTAATATTTTACATTAAACATCTTTTAGTTATTCTTACCACTTTAAAGTAAGTCAACTAAAATAAATACAACAATTTTCTATGAACATCTTAACACCTCCTAATATTTTAGGAAAAAACCTCAAGGGTTAGTAAGTGTTATTTTCATGGTCATGAAAATAAATCATAATGTAAGACTTTCTACTACTTTAATATCTAAAACTTCATAACACTTTAAGTTTATGAAGTCAAGACTTTAATAAATCATCTTTTATCCCAAATCATTATTTTAACTTGGGAATCAAAGAGTAAAATATGTAAACCACTTTTAAAACATAATACTATCCAAAAAATGAAATATTTTCAACAACTCATCAACATCATAAACTTTCAAGAATAAAATACAAACTTTTTCCTAAACACATTAAAGGTTCCTTTGATGTTAAAATCATCACCTTTAAACATATTCAAATACTAACAATAATTTCTAATATTTCCAAATAAATAACTCATCTAACCTTGTCCAAAGATATAGTTTTTCCATCTAAGAACAAGGAAGAAATTTCAAGATTTACAAAAGTCAAAAACTACATAAAGGTTCATATGATTTTATTATCATCCCCTTTATTTATGCTTTCATAAAATACTTAAAGAACAAATATAAACTCTACTTATGAACAAAATAATAAAAGCTCATAACTTTCTATGAAGTATGAGAAGAAGATGAAAAAGATAAAATAAAAGACTACCTTAGTTTGTATAAGAAATTTAGTGTAAAAATGAGAGGATGGTGTGAGGTATTTATAGGAGAGCCTCACCCTCATCAAATCCTAAAATTTAATGCAAAGTAAGTAGCTTTAGACTAGCATAGGTGATGTGTCTAATGGTGGTGGAGTGAGAGGATTTGTTGAGTGTTTTAGAGGTTTTTGGAAGCTTTTGCATTACTTGTGTAACAAGTAAGTGGCTCATGAAATGATGACTTCCAACTTTATTGATATGATGTAATTTCCCAATAAAAGTCGTGTCCGAACATCTTCAGATAATTTCGTCCGGAAATATACAATCTCCCGATTTTGGTTTACGGTTAGAACTTCGAAACACAGAATTTGGAGTGAAAATATTTAGAAAATAGATATGGGTACACTCGGGGTCTAGATTGACTCGAAATGAAATTACGAAGCCAACGGAGCGATCGGAATTCGATTCTGAGTTACGGAACTCAAAATCACATTTTTGAGCCGTATCGAGCGGAATTTATCCCCGACAGTGGTCCAGAACCCACTGTCTCCGAAATTATCAAAATTTCCCTTAAAAATAGGAAATAATCAAACAAAGCTAAAACTTAACTGTGGCTTAGCCAAATTCCTTACTAGTTAGTGCAGAAAATTCATTTTCTAAAAATAAAAACTCATAAAAATCATAATTTCAAATCAGAAAATTCGTGGTGTTACAAATCGGGTTTGTTTTCC